ATGCCCAGCTATTTCTTTTTGTGTGTGTGTATTTTTAGTAGAGACGGGTTTCACCGTGTTGGCCAGGATTGTCTCAATTTCTTGACCTTGTCATCCACCTGCCTTGGCCTCCCAAAGTGCTGGCATTATAGGCATGAGCCACCGCACCTGGCCAAGATTACTTTTTGAAGTTTGAATAAAAGGGCAATGAAATCTGAGGAACAGGACATTGACTGGCTGTGTGCTGAGGCCATCCTTCTCCCCTGTCTGGGAGAGGGACTTCTGTTACTGTGCTGTCCCCAGAGGTGGGTGGAGCTTAAAAAGTCACAGAAGCCTAAGTGATTTGCAGGGTATGTGGAGAAAGAGCTCTTGGCAACCTCTCCTGTGACCTGAACTCAACATGTCTTTTTTTTTTTTCCTTTGAGATGGATATCTCGCCCTGTCACCCAGGCTGGAATGCAATGGCACGATCTCGGCTCACTGCAACCTCTGCCTGCCGGGTTCAAGCAATTCTCCTGCCTCAGCCTCCTGAGTAGCTGGGACTACAGGTGTGTGCCACCATGCCTGGTTTTTTATTTTTATTTTTAGTAGACATGGGGTTTCACCATTTTGGCCAGTCTGGTCTCGAACTCCTGACCTTGTGATCCGCCCACCTCAGCTTTCCAAAGTGCTGGGATTACGGGTGTGAGCCACCACGCCTGACATCAACATGTCTTTTTTTTTTTTTTTTTTTGAGATGGAGTCTCGTTCTGTTGCCCAGGCTGGAGTGCAGAGGCCGGATCTCAGCTCACTGCAAGCTCCGCCTCCCGGGTTTACGCCATTCTCCTGCCTCAGCCTCCCTAGTAGCTGGGACTACAAGCGCCCACCACCTCGCCCGGCTAGATTTTTGTATTTTTTTTGTAGAGACGGGGTTTCACCGTGTTAGCCAGGATGGTCTCGATCTTCTGACCTTGTGATCCGCCCGTCTCGGCCTCCCAAAGTGCTGGGATCAACATGTCTTTATACACCTTTCTTCACAAAAGAAACAACTGAAGAACAACCAGAAGGTGCCAGCATATTCTGTGAACATCAGCAAAAAACCTACGTAAATAAATGGTGGCAAAAGCGAATTATTTACACAGGAGAAGCTACCTCCCTGCCTCTCCTAAAATATCGAAAGATATCATAGTGATAAACACAAAGCCAATATCCATAATAAATTTTATTTTGCCCAGTGAAATAAAAGGCAAGTCAGATTACTGTTGGAATGATGAGTGGTGTTAATTTCAATTCTTTATAATATTTTCTTATTTTAAGAAGAAGTACTTGTAGTGGTAATTTTGGGATATGACTAAATGAATGTGCCTTTCATGTGGAAGAATAAACAAACAAGAATATTGGGCCAGGCACGATGGCTCATGCCTGTAATCCCAGCACTTTTGGAGGCCAAAGTGAGGGGATCACTTGAGGTCAGGAGTTTGAGACCAGCCTAACATAGTGAGACCCTGTCTACAAAAAATAAAAATAAAAAAAATTAGCTGGGCATGGCGGCACATGCTACTCAGGAGGCTGAAGTGAGAAGGTGGCTTGTTCCCAGGAGGTTGAGGCTGCAGTGAGCTATGATTGCACCACTGCACTCCAGACCGGATGACAGAGTGAGACCTTGCCTTAAAAAAAAAAAAAAAAGTCAAGGAGGATGAGGAGAGAATGGGGAGATAAAAATGTTACCAGCTAGTACAAAGCCTCAAGAGCCCAAGACAGGCCCATGAGATAAATGGAAATGAGAGAAAGAACATCTCAGAACTTGCCACAATAAACATGCTGGAAAACATCTATCCACTCATATCTTCCTTTATTCTCATACTCATCCAATATTTTTTTGGGTACCTACTGATTGCCAGGCATTGTGGATACGAGGGTGAATGAAACAGAAAAAAAGTCTGCTCTCTTGGGCCTTATTTTCTAGTTATCTGTGATAATTATCTCGGAAAATATATATAAAACACACAGCACAGTGTATGACAGTCAACAAAGTAGTGGCCACCACTACTTTGATAATCATGTTGGTTTCATGTTTGCAATGACCAAGAGTCAGGGGTTAACTGAAAGACCCATACACATATCCATTACTCAAATAACTTTCTATGTGCTCCAAGCTGACTTTGCCAAATAGTATGAGCAACACCCCTAATGCTGCAGGGTGCACAGTGTCTCTGTAGTGATAGTGTGAGTAGTTTCTGGGGGTGCAGGTGCCACCTGCTTCCTTGGTTGTTTCTAGGGAGCTGGCACATGCTACCTTTGTGTGTGGAAGTGGCTGTGGTGCATGCCGAGGCAGGAGGATGAGTTGGAAGCGGGGAATATCTGGGAAAGCAGTTCATCTGGCCCTGGCTCAGAGATCCCTATCCACCACAGTCCTGCTTCTACAGGGCAATAGCGGACAACCCATTCTTTTCCTCTAATCCTACTGAAATGTTTGGCTTTCTCCCTCCCTCCCTTCTTTTTCCACTCTCCCTCTTCTCTTTCCTGCATTTCCTCTCTTGACTGAGGCCTGTGTGGGGCTTGCTGGTGCACTGTGCACCTACTGCTTCTTCCTAGGGATCCCCTGGAGAGGACTGTCCACTCAACACCAAGATGGGGAAGGACTTACTGAAAAAGACCCACATGACCACCACTCTCCTGAAGATTTTCCAGGGATCATTTCCCTGAACCCTCCCACCAAGCCTACCAGCCAGGTTCCTCTGACCACTCTACTTTGCTACGGGACCTCGGAAGAGTCCCTTCTTTTCCAAGAGGATTTACTAGATGCCAGGCACTATTCTCAGCATGTAACCCTTCTAAACAAGTAACTTATTCAACATACACGTAATGGTGTGAGGTAGGGACTATGATTAACTTTGTGATTCAAAATTCTTAAATTCATAGACGAAGAAACTGAGGCACAAAATAGTGGATGCAAATCACAGTCAGCTCTCCTAACCCTGACTCAGAGGCTGAGTTTTGTCCCTCAGCCTGGACTGCAGGAAACCTACAAGCAAGCTCTCAAGTGGGTGCAGGAGGAGGAAGGTCTTATGATCTTGGGGAAATTTGGTACAGATACTTCCAGGAGCAAGCATCCTCCAATATCTGACTAAAGAGCAATACTGACTCAGGCAAGGAGAAAGTGAGTGGGCAGAGTAAGGAGGAAAGCAAGTCTGAGGTCATGGCAGCACCTGTGCCCTGACACTGCTGGAAAGATGTGTCACCAGAAGGTACCTACAGGAAGCAATGGGATTTCATTCATCCAATCTGATCTTACACTCTGATAGTGACATGTGGAACAGCTGCAGTTACATGCCTGCATGGCTGCATCGTAGAAAGGCGCATTGTGTGGATCAGAGGCTATTAGCCAGTCAGGGTTTGGGGAAGCATCTGATTTTTTTCAGCAGAGTAAGTAACGGCACAGTGCATTGAGTCCCCAGTGCATTTCTCTGTATCTTGATCTTCCTCTATTTGTGCTTTTCTGTTCCTCTGCCTGGAGGTTTTGCCTCCATTCAGGTCTCTGCTCTAAAACAGACCTTGTGTGTACTTTATCGCAAACAGTTCCCTTTCCACCCCTCAGCAGCGGGCCCCACTCCCTTTGTTTCGCCCTTTCCCAACCTGAAAACGTGGCATTTACCTGCCAGCTTGCTTATCTCCATGGAGCCCATGCTCCACTAGGGTAGGAACTTTGAGTTATTTCTGCTGCATCCTCTGCCCTTGCAAAAGTACCTGTCACCTGGGAGGCACTTGGCAAGTACTTGTTACCTAAATGGACAATGTGAAAAATCAGCACGCTCCATTCTCAGGCCACACTGCTGGAGATGACTGTATGGCTTCGGGGCTGGCCCTCTGAGCGTGATGCGGTACACAGAGGAAGGTGGGTGCACAAGGACCGTGCTGTTCTGTAGGAATCCTATGAGGAATCTGCTGGGTACTATCACAACCTGGAGTCAGGGTAGTTCGGGAGGCACTGAGGTTGCTGCAAGATGGCTCATGTGAGCAGGCAAGCTCCCTCGCCTGGATGGAAGAAGAACTCAGCAAGCGAGGCACTGAGGACCCTTCCACTAAGTAAGGCTTTCTTACCCATCTCTGGTTCCAGGGGTTACATAGGTGGAACCAGGATGCCTACAGCAGAGCTTCAGCAAGGACAGGAAATAAACAGAAAGTGACAAGCGGGCTAGCAGAATGGACTGAAGGCTGTTCTGTAAACCTCTCCCACCCAGCAGTAATTCTCTGGCTTTCTCTGGGCCTGTGTGTCAGTTTGGTCCAGGCCTTTCCAAGCAGACCCTAGACATATCTTGTTCACTCATAAGTTCCCCTGTGTCTGTCTTCTGTCTCCATCTACATCAGCCTTGACTGTATTCCACCTACATGGTGCTGGGGGCCTGGGCCTGTGAACCTCTGACCCGTCCTCTCCTGCCAGGCTCAGGCCCGGTTCTCAGCCGCTGTTGTTGCCGGGCCCCTCCCAGGGTTCCTGACTCCAGATCTCTGCCACAGATTCAGGACTGGACTCAAAGGCCTCCTCTCTGAGGTACCTTCCCTGACCTGCTTTAGCAGCCACTCCTGATTCTTCTGACTTTGCCCTGTTGTAGGGACTTCCTAAATGGTTGCGACCCATGCTCTCCATGTATGCCTGGTCTGAGGACAGCAGCACCTGGCCCCAGCACGTGCTCGATGGTGATCAGCTGACTGATGGCCGCGTGCTCTGGGTTTGGTGCCAGGCATGTGCTTCCTTCCAGTCTCCCAACAGCCCCCAGAGCTGTTCCGACTCCAGCGTACAGCTCATGTCCAAAGGTGGGGAAGTCAGCTAAGGACCCACTTCATTCTATCCAGAAGCATAAGACAAAGAGAAACTGAATGAGTGGCCAGAAGAGGGAGTGTTTGCCAGGGAGGGCTGGACCTCTGGGGTCTCTGGTGACCTGGCGGTAGAGCCACCTGGATAACGTGTGGCTGGATAATGAACAGGTGAAACAGGCCAGGCTTTGCACTGGGAAAGGGGAGCAAGGGGAATGAAGAAAGCACCAGACAGTTCCCATGGAAGTTTATTTTATGTTCCTTGCAAACAACATGTGGCCCCAGCTGTGATTCCAGCTGCCCTCTCTGACTTCTGTTCCCTGAGCCTGGCTCCTGCTCTTCATTCAAACTGCACCAGCTGCATAAGCAAGGGCAGCGGGGGGCTCCACTGCATGTCAGCCCGCTGCATGGCCTGCAGCTGCTTCTGTATCTCAGCCTGCAACTGGCACAGCTTGTCCTTGTTCACGGGACCCCAGGAGAGGCCATGCAGGTACATGCAGCAGTCGACTGGGATGGGATAGAGTACCTGCTTCAGCTCCATCAGCCCCGTTGTGTGCTCCAGCAGGCTCAGGAGGCAGGCACTGGAGATGGGGTTGTCGGAGAGGCTCAGGGAACTGAGGTGGGAGCAGCGGCACAGGGCGGGCAGGAGGGCACTGAGGTGGGCATCCTTCAGCCGGCAGTGGTTCAGGTCTAAGTGCTGCAGCGTCCCTGAGACCTCCCTCAGCAGGGTCCCCAAGGGCCTAGGGATCATGTAGGACAGGTTGTTGCCACTCAGATCCAGCTTCTTCAGGCAAGTGGTATGAGGGCTCTGGGACAAGTAGGTGATGTCAGTGTCAAGAAGCCTGCAGTAGCAGATCTCCAGGGAATGCAGTGGAACCCACAGACAGCTGAGGAGAGAAGGGTGGCTGTGTGAGGGTAGGGCCCAGGCCCCCCGCCCGGAACACCTACTCGTCCCTGAGGAGGCCAGTCCTATGGCCACCCCCTCATTAGGGAAGCCTTTTACCAGCAGGGTCAGAAGCATGTCCTTTGGTGTCCCAAGGCCAGGCTCTCTCTCAACAGACCTACCAGGTCCCCCACAAACCCCTCCAACTCTAAGTTTCTCTTTGGTGAAAGGGAGACTCACATTATCCATACCCAATATGACTGCTGAGAGGAGCCACCTGAAAGAGCTTATCTGATGAGAAGCAACCATAGGCTGAGCCCATTATTCCTCAGGTTTGGGTTTGGGGAAGCTGCTGCTCAGGCTTCTCTTTAAGCCAGGGCCGGGGGTCCTGAATGCCCTATCTGGAAATTTCTAGGAGACGTGCACAGAGTGGATACTGATTGTCCTTCAGAGCTCTGTACCCACCTGTCTGGGGCAGTATGAGCTCAGAAGGAGAGGCCTAACCTGTGCTGTCTCAGGATCTTTTCTTGGGAACCAGTGTAACATTCAGCAGTGCCTGAAAAGGTTTGCTGAGTAAATAAACATATTATTAGGACAGGCGCAATGGCTCACACCTGTAATCCCAGCACTTTGGGGAGCCGAAGTGGGTGGATCACCTGAGGTTTGGAGTTCAAGACCAGTCTGGCCAACATGGTGAAACCCCGTCTCTACTAAAAATACAAAAAACTAGCCGGGCGTGGTGGCGGGCGCCTGTAGTCTCAGCTACTTGGGAGGCTGAGGCGGGAGAATGGCGTGAACCCGGGAGGCGGAGCTTGCAGTGAGCCGAGATCATGCCACTGCACTCCAGCCTGGGAGACACAGCAAGACTCCATCTCAAAAAAAAAAAAAAAAAAAAAAAAGTTTTTAAAAAATTCGCAAGGTGTAGTGGTGCGCATCTGTAGTCTTAGCCACTTAGGAGGCTGAGACGGGAGGGTAGCTTGAACGCAGGAGTCTGAGGCTGCGTGAGACGTAATTGTGCCACTGCACTCTAGCCTGGGTGACATAATGACCTCCTGTCTTTAAAGAGAAAAAAAAGCCAATTAGATCTTTAAATTAAATTTGTTGTAATTTTTTTTGAGACAGAGTCTCGCTCTGTTGCCCAAGCTGGAGTGCAGTGGTGCAATCATGGCTCACTACAGCCTCAAACTCCTGGGCTCAAGCAATCCTCCTGCCTTGGCCTCCTGAGTAGCTGGGACGAAAGGTGCACTACCATGCCCAGCTAATTTTTGTTTTTGTTTTTGTTTTTTTTTGAGATGGAGTCTTGCTCTGTTGCCCAAGCTAGAGTGCAGTGGTGCGATCTTGGCTCACTATAACCTCCACCTCCTGGGTTCAAGAGATTCTCCTGCCTCAGCCTCCCGAGCAGCTGGGATTACAGGCACATGCCATCATATCTGGCTAATTTTTGTATTTTTAGTAGAGATGGGGTTTCTCCATGTTGGCCAGGCTGGTCTCAAACTCTTAACCTCAAGTGATCCACCTGCCTCTGTCTCCCAAAGTGCTGGGATTACAGGCATGAGCCACCGTGCTTGGCCTTAATTTTTGTGTATTTATTTGTAGAAATGTGGTCTTACTTTGTTGCCCAGGCTGGTTTCCAACTCTGGCCTCAAGCAAGCTTCCCACTTCAGCCTCCCAAAGTGGATATTATTTTTACAGCAACATGCATCTTTCCCCATCAAATGTTTCCAAAGCAGATCCCAGCCATCAACTGCATCTGAACCCTGGGTTCCCAGGCTGTGCCCACAATTCCATGAGCATCTAAGAATGGGCCCCATTTCCTGTCTTGTTCCCCTGTCCTGACCTCACTTAGGAGTATTCAGGGAACTCTTTGGATGCCCCTGTCCACCCATTCACCTGAGTACATAATGTAGGTTGCCCGAGAGGTAGGAGTAAGACAGGTGCAGCTTCTGGAGGTGGCCCAGCCTGGTGAGCTGTGAGAGAAAGTAGCTGGAGGGCCGCTCGCCCCGTGAGGAGAAGGCCCAGTTGTAGTAGATGAGTTTGAGGCTGCGCAGGTTGAAGATCCTTCCCAGCTGTGTTGCAGATAGGTTTGGATCTGACAATGCCCAGAACCAGTCAAACCAGTCAAACACCTCCAGCTCCTGGATGAAATCCAGCTTGAGTGTCTTCAGGATCCCCAGCAGACTGTGGAAGGGCATCTCCTCAATGTGCAGCTTCCTACAGCAGAGATGCAGGGCCCCGTGGCTCTGTTCCACTTTCGTCAGGAGGCTGGAGAGGAACTTATCTAACTTGAAGGGGCCTCTCAGGAAAAGATCAATGTGTATTTCCACTGCTTCCCATGGCTGCTTTGGTCCTTTTTTCATATTCTCTGTTGGCTTGGGCCTGGCCACGGCCTGGGGCATCTCTGCCTTGACTGTTGATGGTAACCAAAATGGGAACTTGGCCAAGGCTTCAGAAGCCCCTTTACTGTGGACTTGCTCAGAGTCCAGGGTGAAATCCAGCATCCTCAGTTCTGACTTCCTGTGGGGGAGACAGGAGTGAGGAGATGCTGGAGAGCCCATGTGAGATGAGCGGCAGCAGTCCTGGGCCGCTCCCCAGACCCCAGTACCTGCTCGCCTCGCCTCTCCTCTCCAATGGGCTTTTCCTCCCTCACCCAGGCTCCTTGCTAGCCCCTATTCCTCATACAGCTCATACCACCACCCCTAGAAGGTAAAAAGCCCTCTCCTTAAAGCCTTGTAGCTGTACCATCAACCACTTAACTCAGAAACATATAGTTTCCCCACTTGTCCCCCGAGGCGATTTAACGCTCCCCTCCCCTGGATCTCAGCTCACCCTCCCTCTGGCTCTGAGCTGAGGTCTTGCTCCCAGCATTCCCCTTACCTGGGACAAGCCCTGTGGGCAGAAAAGGCCTCCAGCCCATCCACCACAGCTTGCAGGCTGTCTTGGTTGGGCCACTGCACTATCAGAGAGCCCAGACGGAGAAAGGGGAAGGGCCAGGCCTGCACCAAGGCCTTCAGAGCCTTTCTGTGCCCCTTGGCAAATGCAGCAGTGAGTAGTGGCGGGAAAAGGTTCACTGTGAGCTGTTCCAACACCAGTAGAACTGAAGCCTCATTGCTCAGCAGGCTGTGGGCTGCAAGTTCCAAGAGCCTGAGAGGTGCTGGGTGGTTCACCTCCATGGACCTGGAGCAGAAGAAGGTAGAAATCCTCAGAAGACTAATGGCTCAGCATCGCTCCCAGGCCAACGCGGGAGATGCAAGCCTTTTGCATCTGTCACAGAACCAAATGCTGGCTCCTCCCGCCATTCAGGACCAAAACCCCAACATTCAGGTCTTGTAAGCCTGAGACCCTGAAGCCCTCAGGCCCTGGGGACATGGGATCCAGAACCTCAGGGGTTTAGATCTATTCCTTGCCAGGCTGTAGAGGCTTTGAATTGACCCACACTTTCCTCTTCTGCCTTCACCATTAAGATCATGAACACATAACTGAGGACACTGTCCCCAAACTCCACATCAATTCTCCCAAAGCATATGTAGATTCTGAGCAGTTCTCATCACTTCCAGTTTTACCAAGCCATTATCTCTTGCCCCTATTACTGCAGTGGCCTTCTAACTTGTCTCTCTGCTTCTGTCCTTGTGCACCCTGTGGTCAAACTCAGATCATGACACTTGTTTGCTCAAAACTCTAGTGGCTTCATTTTCACTGTGAATACAATCCACCCTGCAGCTGCGCCTCAGAGTCTAGCATCCGAGTATCTCAGGGTCCACCTCCTGTCACTCCCCTCACTATTCACTCTGCACCAGCAACCTACACTGGACTCCATTTCTCTCCTCAAACACCAGCAACGCCCTGCTTCAGGGCCTTTGCGCTTCCTGTTTCCTCTGCCTAGAAGTGTCTTCTCCCAAATATCCTCATGGCTGGCCCCCTTACTTCATTCAGGTTTCTATTAAAATTTCACCCTGAGAGGTCTTCCCTGACCACCCAAGTAGAATAGCACTCTCATCCCTTAATTACAGCTTTATCTTTCCTAACCTGATTTACAGCGCTTCTTCTATCACCCCTTTTCTGTTTCTGTCTCTCACACACACACACGCACGCGCACACACATAAATGCACACACTCGCATATTATCTGTCTCCTCTCTGCTAAATTATAAGCTCCATGAAAAAAGGGGCTGTATCTGCTTTCATTACTGCTATAGTCTGAGTGATAAACATAGTTCCTGACATACACCAGACAAGCAGTATATATTTTAAGTGCATTTCAAGAGCAAGTTTGCACAATAGACGCTTACCACAATCCCACTGATGGAGTTGAGGGTAATATGGAATGGAGGATTTTTTTTTTCTATGCTCTCACAGAGCATCAGGTTCAGGTTAGTTATGGATTCTTTCAACTGCCCAAATGCCTCCTTTTTTCCGTGAAATGCGGGAGTGTAGACTCCCGTGAAATGCGAGTGTAGACCTCATCCCATCACTTTCCACAGTCCACCACAGAGCAAGGCTTTGTGTAAGGAGGGGGCAGTTCTAGACCTGCACTGTCTGATGCGGGAGCCCCAAGCCACATGTGGTTACCGAGTACTTGAAATGTGGCTAGCGTGACTAAAGGACTGAATTTTAAATTAAATTAAATTCTAATTAATTACAATCTAAATAGCTTCACGTAGCTAGATGCTACACTTTTGGACAGCAGCATTCTAGAATCTATGCTAGTCAGAGACAAGAAACATTCATTTAGTCTCACAAGCTATGAAATCCATTTGCATGAGGCCACTATGGCCTTGGTAATAAACTGGGCGAGGACAAAGGACAGTATAAGAAAGGACAATTATTGGCCAATCATACATTGGAAGCTACCTAGCAAAGGCTTAAATACTAGCAAATCAAATCAAAGGCCTGACACATTAAATCTATAAATATCTCTCACAAATAGTGATGAAGTACAATTGAGCAAGAATGGTTAATGTTAGGTTTATTAATTATTAATGTCAATGCATTTGGGAAAATCAAAGAAGAAACAGAAGGGAAGCTTCTGAACCTGATACTTAGTAGTGGTGTTTTATAAACATTGCTTTTTTTTTTTTTTTTTTGAGACAGAGTCTTGCTCTGTCACCTAGGCTGGAGTGCAGTGGCATAATCTTGGCTCACTGCAAGCTCCGCCTCCTGGGTTCATGCCATTCTCCTGCCTCAGTCTCCCGAGTAGCTGGGACTACAGGCGCCTGCCACCACGCCCAGCTACTTTTTTTGTATTTTTAGTAGAGACGGGGTTTCACTGCATTAGCCAGGATGGTCTTGATCTCCTGACCTCGTGATCTGCCTGCCTCGGCCTCCCAAAGTGCTGGGATTACAGGCGTGAGCCACCGCGCCCAGCCAACATTGCTTTAAAAGTCAGAAATAAGATGAAGATGGTGTGGCCACCATGAGAGTGTGCCCTGCACCTCCAACTCAGGAAATGCACCTGAGCAAGGGCAGCGGGAATCCCTGGCAGCCTTAAGGCCCAAGTCATACCACCACATGCTGCTCACCAACAATGACTGAGGACAGATTAGTTCCTGGGAGACAATGTGACAGACTAGTTCCTGGGAGACACCACTCCTGTGACAACCACCTTTGGCTTGAGGACTCCCTTATGGCTTTGCCAAATCTTCCTGAGTGCACACATTTCCACCCAACCTTCCCTCCAGCTCTGCTTCACCAAACACAGCGACGCAGGTCTGTGGGGTCTCCACGCCTTCCCTGCTCACTCCTCAATGCCCCTTATAGGGAGCTCCCCTAGTAAAATCCTTGGATGTTTTTGCATCTTGGTATCTGCTTCTAGCAGGACTTTGATGGAGTTTAGGATGTGCCTTACCAAAATACAGCAACTTAGCATACTGAATATTTTAAGCTGAAGGAATTTGAGAAACGGCATGGGCAGGCAGGATTTTCTGACCTTCCCCTGTAGTAGGTATAAGATCCTCCTGTGAGAGGTGCTCCCCTCATACCAGAAGGAAAGGCATATCCTTATTTCCAAAGACGAAGGCTTGCCAAGAGGGATCTGAACACATAGGCCTGCTGTTTCGCCACTTTATTAAACTTGGCTCATAGTCTCATACTCCTTTTGTCTTATCATATTTCTCCATGACTAATCAAAAAATTGTTTTCTCTCTATATATAAACATACATATATACATATATATAATGTGTGTGTGTGTGTGTGTGTGTGTGTGAGAGAGAGAGAGAGAGAGAGAGGGGCTGTATCATGGGTAATTTTGTTGATGTTTGAATTAGAAACAAGCATGCACACTATCAACATTGTCTGGGAAAGCTGTAGCCAGTGCAATAAGACACATAACAATGGGGCTGTCTATGGCAATAAAAAGAGGCAAATAATTATGTACATAGTGTAGGAAAAAAATGGTGTTGTGGCTCAGAATGTCACCCCCAAATACGGCACTTAGAAGGTCTCTCTCTGACTTTTCTCTGCCTTTCTGTGTGAGAGCTAGTCATAAAGGAATTCTCTGACCTTCCTCTCCTGAAAGTAGGTCGTTAGACCCCCATGTGACAGGTGTCCTGTCCTATACCAGGAGGAAAGAAATGCTACACAGAGGGGCCAAGAAGAATCTGAACGAACAGGCCTTGTTAAGTTCTCCCCAGCTTATTACCATTAGACCACAGGCTTTTTGTCCAATCATACTTGTACATGACTGTGCATCCTTCATCAAACCTAAGCATAGATATATACAGATAGTCAGGTGCAGTGGCATGCACCTGTAGTCCCAGCTACTTGGGAGGGTGAGGCAGGAGGACTGCTTGAGCCCAGGAATTCAAGGCCAGTCTGGGCAATATAGTAAGACCCCAGTCTCTAAAAAAAAAAAAATTAAATTAAAAACTAAAGTTCTCCGGCCGGGCACGGCGGCTCAAGCCTGTAATCTCAGCACTTTGGGAGGCTGAGACGGGTGGATCACGAGGTCAGGAGATCGAGACCATCCTGGCTAAAATGGTGAAACCCCGTCTCTACTAAAAAATACAAAAAACTAGCCGGGCGAGGTGGCGGGCGCCTGCAGTCCCAGCTACTCGGGAGGCTGAGGCAGGAGAATGGCGTGAACCTGGGAGGCAGAGCTTGCAGTGAGCTGAGATCCGGCCACTGCACTCCAGCCTGGGCGACAGAGTGAGACTCCGTCTCAAAACAAAACAAAACAAAACAAAACAAAAAACTAAAGTTCTCCTTGGGTCTTTGAGTCTTCATTTCTGAAGGTTCCTGTTCACGTAAAACTTTGATAAATTTGCTACGGTGTCCTCTTGTTAATCTGCCTTTTAAAAATAGGGGTATCAGCAAAGACCCTTGAGATGGGTGAGGAAAAGCTATGATTTTTTTCTCCTCTACAATGGAAAGCAATGGATCCTCTGTAATGTACCCTTCTTGGTTATCAGATTTGAGCCTTGTTCATTATCTTTGAGCTATTTTGTAACTTTATAAGTTGTAGGTAACTGATAGACATAGAAATTCTGTCCGGTCTGGTAAGGATTTTCCCCTAACTTCTACCTGTGGAAAATTTTGTCTCCATCTGAAATTCATCTCAACATCTCTTCATGTCATAGAGATGTGTGCTGGCTTAACCCTTCTTTAACAGCTGCCTGGTACTTCATATTATATGACCAAAATAAATTCTTTTTTTTTTTTTTTTTTGAGACGGAGTCTCATTCTGTCGCCCAGGCTGGAGTTCAGTGGCTGGATCTCAGCTCACTGCAAGCTCTGCCTCCCGGGTTTACGCCATTCTCCTGCCTCAGACTCCCGAATAGCTGGAACTACAGGCGCGCGCCACCTCGCCCGGCTAGTTTTTTTGTATTTTTTAGTAGAGACGGGGTTTCAGCATGTTAGCCAGCATGGTCTCGATCTCCTGACCTCATGATCCGCCCATCTCGGCCTCCCAAAGTGCTGGAATTACAGGCTTGAGCCACCGCGCCTGGCCAATAAATTCTTTAATACATGTTCATTTTTATATCTGTATAAAGTCACAATTCTACTTTTCTGAAAATTATCTTTTAACCATTGAAAGCTAAAAAGGATAAAATAGGAAACAGCTAATATAATTAATAGGAGTATTTCTGCTGATATGACTGCACAAGAGTGCCTGGTATTTCCAGCAAGAACTGAGAAGTAAATGTATAATAGCAGAAGTAATTTAGACATATGAAATAAAC